GTGCCCACAGACTGTTTCCTTAGCCATGTTGAGGTGCCATCTGTTCTTGCCAAGGGGAATACTCTCTTATCCACTCTCAATCTACGGCTCTCCTGGGCGGCAGTGGCCCATTTCGAACAGCCTCCAGCCCCCCTCACAGGTCCCCGCTGGGCTCCGTTCTCCTGCCGGGCATGGCAGGCCCTTAGCAGGCGCTCTGAGTATCTGGCTGATTGCTGCCACGTGTGGGAGAGGGGCTTCGGTGCTGGTGGTCGGCCCCTGGCTTCTCAAGGGGTATGCCCAGTGGTACCAGCAGGAATACAACCCCGAGTCATTGACTGCGGTAGAGACGTCTGTGACTCAGGTCCCTGATTCCAGTTGAGCTGGATAAGCATCCATCTCCTCCTACAAGATGTCGCTCATGTTGTACAATATCTCCGCACTCATTGTGAACGGCTTGCTCACTCGCGGAGTTTTCTCTTCTCTCTGGAGATGGGGGCAGTAGGTGACAAGAATGTACGTCTGGGCGCTAGGGTGAGAATGTCTCAGGTCCAAATCCCACCTCTGCCTGTTACCAGCCGTGTGACCATGGGTGAGTCACTTAAGCTCTGCTCGCGGGTGCAATGTGACAAACCAGAAGATGTGCTCCGCAGGCTTGGTACAGCGTAGATAGTCCCTACATCATGGGTGTGGTCTAACGCGCCCCCTGCCGCAGCAAGGACTCTGCATGGCACAGTTCCCAAAGGCTTTGCTCCCACCGCAGCAGGAGGTACTCGGAGGTGCACCTGCCAGGAGCAAACCCGTCCCTGCTGCGTCTCTCCTCCCGGGAACAAGTGCGCCAGGCTAGTGTTCAGAGCCTGATGCTTAGCTGCCGGGAGGGACTTGACCTGCAACTGGACCTCACACACCCCAGATCACTTTCGGAGGGGGGATTAAACCCCGATGAAGCTTCCGTTGGTTCTTCTCAGGGACTCGCACTGACCCCGAAGAATTCTTTCTGTGTGAAAGCACTGAGTACCCGTGAGGTCGAGTCCAGGAATTAGTTTTTGATGAGCACCCCCTGCTTGTGCGTGTCCAACTCAACTCCAAAATCCCATCTGTTAGTGACACTTTCTGCCTTAGCTCATCTTCCCTGGTTAAGGAGATGCCACAGTATTAATCCATTTCAAGGGTTTTAAACAAACAGCCATAAATATTTAAGCCTCTGCTTTGCCTATTAGGGAAAATGCCAGCTCAGATAATTATTTTGGCCTCTGCCTGACAGAAAGATTTATACAGAGGACAGGATTATGTTAACCTCTGAGCAAATTAGAAACTTGGAATCTAGATGGTCTTCCGCTTCACCGCAATTATCCCTATGGCCAAATATGCCACATTCCCGGATCCGTATGGGGAAAATGCTAGCAGGAGGTAAAACAGCCTGAATTAACTGTTTCCGGTAAAACACCCGGAATTACTGATCGAGTTCCCAAAGTGGTGCAGCTTATCTTACAATGCAAGTCAACCCGAATCGAAACACGGATATGGGTTTCCGTTCGCCTGAGCATCATGTCGTCCACACTGTAAAGTGTGTCCAGGGCCGGGTCCCGGTGGAGACCCTGTCCCAGTGGCACCCTGTTTGGTACAGAGAGTCTGTGAATGCGTGAGTCACTTAGGAGCAGGCTGTGGTTTAGCATACGGGGCAGTATGAGTGTCTACAGGGGCCTGAGCCTGGCAGTGAAGCCTGGCTCTGGGTTTCTCAGTGACGTGGCCTTAGACCATTACTTACTGCCTTTGGCACCTCTTCTGAAGCATGCTGTGAGGACTATGAGGGGGGCTGCAGCAGAAGACTGCAAGAGGCCCACCATGCAGTGTGGCAAATGGGTCAAGTGAACAATAACCATGGCAGGACCACCTTGCCTGGTGCCAGATGATACTCCAAGTCACAAGACGGCAACCTTATGAGGTAGACGTTATCATCCCCACTTTACAGGGGAGGAAACTGAGGCACGGGATGTTCAAGTAACCTGCCCAGGTGGTAGACGTGCACGCCAATATGATGACTAGAAGATTCTAGAAAGTGCTCAGATGAGAAAGCCAATCTCGAAAGGTATACCGTGTGACTTCATCATATGCCATTCTTGAAATGGCAAAGTTATAGGATGGAAAATAGGTGAGTGGTTGCTGAGGCCAGGGATGGGGACAGGAGGGGTGACCGCGGAGGGGGGAGGTGTGGCTCTAAAAAAAAAAAAAGCCCCAAAGTTACCAAAGTATGTTAGAAGTGTGTCTAGGTGTCCTTGGAGGAGGGGGGTGGGAGTTTATCAAATATAGTTACTTGGGACACCATCATGAGTGTGGCAGGACGGGCCGTGGCCCCTTCCCCAAAGCTGTGTGCATCCTAGTCCGGGAATCTGTGCATATGGTAATTTTATCCGGTAAAAGGGACTTGGCAGGTGTGGTTAAGGGTCCTGGGACAGAGGGACAAGCCTGGGTTATCTGGGTGGGCCCCACGTAATCACAAAGGTCTTCTGAGAGGGAGGCTGTGGGGTTGGGATCATAAAAGACAGAAATGGTAATAGCACGGACCGTAGCCACACAGAGGACGGAAGAGGCAAGGCAACGGGACTCCCCCAGAGTTCCTGGAGGGAGTGCAGCCCCGCCGATAACTTGACTTTGACCCAGTGAGATGGATTTTGGACTTCTGACCCCAGAGCCATATGATAATAAACTTGTATTGTTTTAATCCACTAAGTGCATGGCTACTTGTTGTAGTGGCAATAGGAAACTGATACAATGAGGAACATTAGGGGAAAAAAAAAAAGACAACGAACGTCCGTTATTTGGAACATTTCATCTACGTGGGAAGCGGTCGTCCCTGGGGACGTCACGTGGCTGAAGTGTTACTGAACACAGGAAGCTATTTGTTTAATCGCAGAGAACGGTCTTAATGGAGATGAAGTTCAAACCACTTTTATTCCTAAAAAACACTTCCTTCCCTGTCACCACACATTTATAGCATCTGGTGGGTGTTAAATGGGAGCAGGTACAGCTCATAATCACAGCCTGTTGAATACATGTCAGCCGGTAGAAGGCGTCAGAACAAATCCTGCATCAGGAAGTTGTATTTTTACTGTACGATCTCCCTACTCTTCACGTTTGAGAAATAGGACTATTTAAGCTCACGTTATGCCTGGAGACAGTGATGTGTGAGTTCTTTGGGGGGCAAACCCCCCGAAGTTATGTATCAAGATAACATGTCGCCTTTGGCCATGTCATTGAGAATTTAAGTTTCTTTTTTTTTTTTTTAAAGATTTTATTTATTTATTCGACAGAGACACAGCAAGAGAGTTCCCTCTCTCTTTCATCCACAAGCAGGGGGAGTGGGAGAGGGAGAAGCAGGCTTCCTGCGGAGCAAGGAGCCCAATGCGGGGCTCAATCCCAGGACCCTGGGATCATGACCTGAGCCGAAGGCAGATGCTTAACGACTGAGCCACCCAGGCGCCCCGAGAATTTAAGTTTCTTTTTTTTTTTTTTTAAAGATTTTATTTATTTATTTGGCAGAGACACAGCGAGAGAGGGAACACAAGCAGGGGGAGTGGGAGAGGGAGAAGCAGGCTTCCCGCCGAGCAGGGAGCCCGATGCGGGGCTCGATCCCAGGACCCCGGGATCACGACCCGAGCCGAAGGCAGTCGCTTAACCGACTGAGCCACCCAGGCGCCCCAGAATTTAAGTTTCTAAGTAAATGTTCGAAGTCTGTGTTTCCACACTGGGCAGATAAACAAAATAAGGAAGCTCTTAACAATGGGAAAAAAAAAATTAAGCTTCCTTTTTGGAACACTGGCTACCACAGGGGGTCTACTAGGTGCAAAACACTGTATTTGGCATTTCTGTGCTCAGAGCAATTCTACGAGGAGGACATTATCATCTCTAACTTGCCACTGTGGACACGGGGGGCAGAGAGGCTAAGTCACTTGCCCGAGTTCCCAGAGCCTGTGAAGAATAATCAGGAATGAAGGACACTTTGGTCTGACTCCTAAGCTCATGTCGCACCTACTACCTCTAAGACAAACACGTGGGGCAACAGGTTAAAAATATACCGCACGAGCTGCCAACAGCGAACGCGAGAGCTCTCCAAAGAGGGAAGGCTGGGCTAACTTTGATTCTGTTACCTTCTATAAGGTGCTGGAGCGCAGCTGGGAGGAACCCATTTCATCCACAGAGCTGTGTGTGGATAGGAAGTTGGCTACACAGTGACCCAGGGTTATAACCCGCCCAGTCACTGGTGCGCAGGAAGGCTCACAAGAAGACGAAAATTACTCAGACTCTGTCATAACAGGGGTGCCTGGGGGGCTCAGTCGGTTAAGTGTCTGACTCTTGATGTCGGCTTAGGTCATGATCTCAGGGCCGTGGGATCAAGTCCTGCGTCGGGCTCCACGTGGAGTCTGCTTGAGATCCTCTCTCTCCTTCTGACCCTCCCTACTGGCTCACTCACTTGCTCTCTCTCAAATAAATAAATATATATTTTTTAAAGAATGTTATACAAAGACGAAGCAGTCTGGCCACCGCTGTGATCACGTATCTTGGAACCACTCCGCTTACAACCACACTGGAATGTTCTTCCTAGATTAAACACCATGATCAATTCCAATGGGTCATTTAGGGCACTGATCACTCTGATTTTACTAAAAAGCCATCATCAGAACCACCTTTTGACCCAGTTTTCCCATGCAGAGCATTTTTACAAGCACTATCCGCCCCTTCTCTGCCCAACAGTGTGGCTTAAATTGTTCTGATGATGACGGTGTAAGAAACACATTCTACCATACACCCAGCTTACAGGTCCACAAAACAAAGTTCCACGAAACGAGACATACTCTTACTATGCACTGAGCTCTCACACTTGTTTTTTATTTTGCTCTATTAATTTGGCCTATTTTGTGGCCACTGACTTGGTGATTCGCTAATGATTCTATACCCCATGGAGGGGGCTGTATTTGTGATTTGAAAGGTCTGGTCTAGAAACCAAGGAGAATCGGGGTCCCTACCTCTGGGGCGATGTAATCTGGCGTCCCACAGAAGGTCCTGGTTGTGACTCCATCCATCATGTGTTCCTTGCACATCCCAAAATCGGCAATCTTGATATGCCCTTCCGAATCCAGCATGACATTATCTAACTTCAGATCCCTGCAAGGAAGCAGGAGAGCATCAGCGTCCTTCCCACGACATCACATGGTCTGCTCTGGAGCTAGTGAGACGGAAAGATCTCGGACTAGCTGCCACCTCAATGGCGTATTAACTACGAGTCCTACGGGTAACTACTACGGTCCGGAGAGCCGGGACCAGGAATGACTGGGTTTTGTTTTTGTTTCTGAAATCTCCAGAGCCTACTGTAGTGCCTGACACAGTAGGTACTTAATAAATGCACACCGCATAAATGACTAAATGGTTGGTCTAGCGATCCCCAACCTTGGCCAAGCATGTGAATCACCAGATTCCAATTTAGCAGGTCTGGGGCAGCTCCAAACCATTTGATTTACTAGGATCCCACACAGGGGGGCCTGGCACACAACCAGGTTTGCCAAATCCCAGGTTCAGAACAACCTTGCTGGGTCACATACGTGTGGCCACTGCATTCTGCCTGGTGGCATGGGTCCTTTTACTCTTCAGTTAATCCTGGAAGACATTCCCCTTTCTTTGGCATCAGACTTTCACTGTTGCTAACCACCTGCAGAATTTAATTCACTAGTTCTTCCTCTGCCTCTCCCCAGCTCCCCATGTTCTTCTCCCGCTGAGCATCTATAACAGAAATTCGGTTTCCATTGCTCCCTGACCTTCATTACAAAAAAAGGCAGAGGAAGGAACTGTCAGTGGAGAGAAAAGCATGTTTTCTTGTGGGAAGCAGAAATGAGATATACAAAATCTTCTGAGGTCCAGAGATCGGAAAGTGGCTCTGATTTGCCTGCAGGCTGCAGACAAAGGTAGGTCTCTTGTTACCTTGAGGGTTCTCAACAATGTGTCTTAAGTCCCCATCACAGAATCAACATGCACACGGAGGTCCAGGGGTCCGGGGAAACTCCCAGATGCCCTGCTGGTTGCAGAGCCTCAACACACACCTGTAAATGATTCCTCTTTTATGAAGAAAGAACAATCCAATGGAAATCTCTGCTGCATAAAATCTGCAAAAGAAGATGCTCATCAGGCTTGCTGGCTTGCTCTCTGGATTTCTGAATATTTTGTACCCTCCAGCTCAGGCATCAAGGGGGCAAAAGAATGTAAGACCCTGGGACGACCAGAGATCAGCATCACCCTGCAGATGACAAACCCTTTGCTCTTCGCTTGGCCATTTTAGCACTCCCACCTCCCGGAGGAACTTCACAGCTAATAAGTCAAACAGACAGGTTTATTACCTGTCTAGAAACAAGCACTTCTTGTCTGAGGCCGGTGGACAGTTAATTTACTGCTTACAGGGAATTTCCAATACGATCTCTTATTAAACAGTGGCTGCTAGAATAGTCTGTGTCAGGACTGGGGAAGAGTGGGGAAAATGTCTATTTTCCTACTCACGGACAGAATGCATTAGTGTTTGAAAATGCAGTGATTCCCTGGATGATGGAGGAGCGTGTGTGATGTGCTCTGTAGCTGGTGTCCTCACCATCCCCCCTTACCATCCCCACCCCAAGCGCTGGGATAAATGGGACACACACCATGATTCATACTCGAGTTTACCCTTTTAAATAATTCATAATAAACTCAGAGTAAATGCTGAAAGAGGTTTTAAAATGTGCATAGCATTTAGGAATCTTTGAAGTCTGAGAAACCACAAGACTGCGTTTGTGCAAACATCACATCCGGGAGGCTTAAAATCCACACAACGTCTACACAAGCAGAGAACAACCTCTGGTGATAAGGACTGAACTCTTACGGGGAGGGGTGGGGGTGTGGCATCTCTGAGGGCCACCAGGGGAGGAATGGGATGGGAGAGGGAAAAGCAATGGGATTACAGGCGACCTTTACATGATTTTTCATGCTCTTCTGTATTTTTAAAATAAGAACTTTCTAGCAACACAAGTACACAACGTAAGGGTGCTGGATGAGACACCTTGATGTCACCTCATAACGTAAGGTGGTTATTCTGCTACTTGCTCTTTATAACTTTGTCACCAAGCTTTACTTTACAACCCAAGCATTTTGATGCTTTCTAACTAACAGAGTTAAGACAGGGGATAAAGACAGGCATTCCTGAAAATTGAAAAATAAAAATCTAAATAGAAAAAAAATCCCCCTTCAACAACAAAAATCTGATTGGCGTTCGTGGGTTTGATTAATAAAGACATCTGAGGGCGCCTGGGTGGCTCAGTTGGTTAAGCGACTGCCTTCGGCTCAGGTCATGATCCTGGAGTCCTGGGATCGAGTCCCACATCGGGCTCCCTGCTCAGCAGGGAGTCTGCTTCTCCTCCTGACCCTCCCCACTCTCATGCTCTATCTCATTTTCTCTCAAATAAATAAATAAAATCTTTAAAAAAAAAAAAAAGACATCTGAGAATGAAAAAAAAGAAAGAAAAAAAATTCCCTTTTGCATTTTTTTCAGCTTGCTACCAAAGCATTCCCTCTTCTGCCTTCAGCCAATATTCCCTAAGACACATCAACCCATGCAGGCCGAAAGTTCTTCAGATTTATCTTTCAAATCGAACATCGGCCAGGATCCAATGAACATCTGCTAACTTGATTAATCGGGGTACATGCCCACGATGCATCCTCCCCGAGGGAAATGAAAGAGCTATTTGTATACATCTGCTTCTGCCATGTGTCCTGTGACCTCCTGGCCCCTGGAAAACAGGGTGAGTTTTCAGGTACCGAGGTCCCCCCTTCCATGGGCCGTGTCTCTCCTGGCTGCTGCTGACTCCTGCATCCCAATCAAACCCTCCACACTGCTCATGATTCTCCCCCAAACCATCTCCTCCTTGGCAGTTGCCCACTCCCAAACCTAAAATGAGGTGTCACCCGAAGAGGTGTCCGGTGTCTCTGTTCTACACCGAGTTCCCCTTTTCTTCCTCCAGAATGTTTCTCAAAAGCCCTTACTCTTCTTTGGCTCCAAGGTCAAGACCTGATGAAGGTTCCATTTTTTCTCCTCTATATAGATTTTCACCAGCCCCCTTGCACCCGTCCCTACTCTCCCCTTCATCCTTCCTTCCCCTCTCGGTCACGGGGCTCTGTGAAAACTGGGCCTGATGGTGTGAAGCCCCATTGAAACCCCCTCCCGCCACGCCTTCCATGGTCCTCAGCTGGCTCCATCAGGCTCATCACCCGGAGCCCTTGCACCCCCTTCTGTCCCGCTGGCTCGGGCATTCCCTGAGGATGTTCTTTCCCCACTCCCCTTTACCAGGGCTCACGTGCCACCTCTAACATTACAGCCACATAGTACAGTTGTCGGGTGACTTCTCCTACCCTGGGTCAAGGTGGTGAGGTCCCGGAGGGCAGACAGCCTATCCCACTCCTGGCACCTGGTGTGTCGTGAATGTACAATAATCGTTTTTTTTTTTTTAAAGATTTATTTATTTGAGAGAGCGAGAATGAGAGAGAGAGAGAGTACATGAGAGGGGGGAGGGTCCGAGGGAGAAGCAGGCTCCTCGCTGAGCAGGGAGCCCGATGCGGGACTTGATCCCAGGACTCCGGGATCACGACCTGAGCCGAAGGCCATCGCCTAACCGACTGAGCCACCCAGGCGCCCAATAATCGTTTGTTTAAAACGAGTGGCTGACTCAATCCATGAGGATGGAATTGGGTGACAGGCGGATACACCAGCATCTCCGACCAACTGGAAGTAGAATGAACCTCTCCTTCCGAAGGGTCGGTGGACCCAAACCAAGAAGTTGGCCCCCTGGGAGGAGACGGTGCTCAGCTCCAAAGTAGGCAAAGCCCCACTTCCATATTTCACCCAGCAGCAGTCCCTGTGTGCTGTCTAAATTAAGGGACTTTAAAAAAAAAAATACTCACACTGCTTGTGGTTCCTTAAATTTTCCTACTTGCTGAATGTGGTACATGAGGTCCCCGCCATTGACGTATTCCATTACGAAATACAGCCGGTCCTGAAGACGAAGGTGCAACATGTGAGCAGGACTTGGCCACCGGCCGAGAATCTTCCTTCACTCTTCTAGACTGTGTTTTGCTTTCTCATCAGTTAGTAAACTGTGGGCTACCCTGGCAGATCTGCTCAGTGGAGCCCTGCAAAATTTTTCTTCCCAAATGAAATAGAAGTCATAAACCCTACTGCATGAGGGCCTTGGGAAGCATAAAGTCATTAACTGTCAACATGGCTGCCCCCTTCTGGTTCCATATACTCCCTATTGTAGTAACGGCCTCCCAACACTCTTCCCCTTTCTCCTGCACATTAAGACATGTCTAAGTTAGCGATGGTGTGAAGAATCCAAATGGGCCAATTATTTACTTTTAACGAGTGTTGCTCGCTCGCAGCATCTGGGGGGAAAACCCCAGTGATGTAGTCATGCGTTTCCACCAGAAGCTTCTGAAAACAGATCTCGTGAGTTAGGCTGGGCTCCTAAATTATAAATGCTCAATGATATTTACTGTGGGGGAGGGGACTATACATGGAGAGGCTAATCCAATGTGCTTCTGCATCATAATAGGCCCAAGTATTGCTTTTTATTTTCTCCGTCACTGGTGTGCTCAATGTCGGCCCCACGGAGGGCGTACATCATAGGCCCCAATAAAGCTGCATATTTATGAGGACATTACAGTGGGGTAAATGGGGGAAAATGGGGTTGAACAGCCAAGCAGCTCACAGCACAGCACACCCAGGTGAAAGCCAACCTCTGCTCGCTTCTAGACAACGTCACCATTTCGCGGAAGTTATTAAACATTGAAGTGCTGCACGGGGAATGGAAGATAACAATGAAGTTGGTGCTAGCAGTGGGGAAACAGCTCCTGGAGCTTCCTTCTCTAGCTTTCCTGTGATGAATTTTAATTCCATCTTTATTTCCGTGTTTTGCTGCTCCCTGGAGCTCCATCCGTGTAACCGGGGTGATAGGATCCGGGCTGGGATTTGCAGACATGGCTCCCCGTCTGGCATATTGCTCCTCCCTCCTGGGCACTATTTAGGTGCTGCTGGGAGAAGGGGACCGGCCATGCCACCGGCACCAGGCTGACACGCAGTGGCCGGCGCCTGGCTCTGCAGTCCATGGCCCGCCCCAACACTGTGCGGTTACACGGTCATTCTGAGATTCTAAGCTCCAAGAGCATGGAGGGGGACCTCCCAAGAGATTTTTAAAGAGAGATGGAAGACAGAAAGTCATTTTCTGGCCAGTAGAAAGTTAAAAATAATTATAATCGTAACAGTAATAATTATAGCTACTGATTATTGAGTCACATCTTAAAAAGGGCAGGCGCTGAGGGTGGAAAGCCTGTCTTTGGGCATGCCTGACAATGGTGCCCTCGAAATGGTTATATTTCTTGTGGGCCACCTGCAAGCTCCATGCCAGGGCCCTGGCCCCACAATGGGCTGATCGGTGCTTCGGAACCCTCTTGTCCTCCTTTTCGTTATACTGTAAGACAGGGCTCAGCAAACTTTCTGTAAAGGGCTAGACAGCAAATACTTTAGGCTCTGCGGGTATCTTGCAATGATTCAACTCTGCCTGCACCGCGGGAGACCCACTGCGGGGGACAGGAAAATGAAGGAGCCTGGCTGTCTTCCAAGAAAATGATTCACGCACCCTGAAATGTGAATTTCATCTAATTTACACATGTCACAAAATATTATTCTCTTTTTCTCCTCCAACCTTTCTTAGAGCTCATGGACTGTACAAAACAGGTCAGACTACCAAGCCTGCTGTGTGCAGTAAACAAGAACACACTCTTTTACAAGATCAAGTTTGCTCGGATTCTAATGCATTGCCTAGCAACGGGACCCGTAGCCTTCAAAAGCCACGACCATGGGTTATTTTATTGGTGTTGTAACCCCAAGTCTTAGCACATGGCCTGGTATAAGGAATGTACCTTTGTACATTTGTACCTTATAAAACGTACCTTTGGTACAAACGTTTGCTGAATTAAATAGAATTAGTGCCAAGCCTATAAGTAGGGAGCATCCCAGATCTGGAGGGGGCTCCCCAAATTTACCAGCAGCATAGGAGTGAGAGGTTTTCTTGAGCCTTCTCTACTAGAGGAAGGTGGATTCAGATGCTTAGAACCCTGGCTTCAGGGGTGGCCCTTGGGAGCACGCCGCGTGCAGCACCACAGATCGGAACCCCCAGGGGCCTTACCACTGTCTGGAAGCAGGAGTGTAGCTGTGTTAGGAACGGGGGCTTGTCCAACAGGGCCAGGACTCGCTTCTCCACCATGGTGCACTCCACGTCGTCATCTTGAATCACCACATCCTTCTTCAGGATTTTGATAGCATACAGTTCCTCTGTGCCCTTCCGGTCAGCAAGCATCACCTGGGAGCAGACGAAAGGCAAGCTGAAAGCTTCAGAAGCGTACGTCTGGTACTGGGGGTGGGGTGGGAGAACCTGGTCAGGTGGCCGTTCAGTCGGCCTATGCTATCTATTCATAAAGTTCTGCTGCATGTGCAAATTTTTTTTTTTTTAAGATTTTATTTAGTTATTTTGAGAGAGAGAGAATGAGAGACAGAGAGTATGAGAGGGAGGAGGGTCAGAGGGAGAAGCAGACTCCCTGCCAAGCAGGGAGCCCGATGCGGGACTCGATCCCGGGACTCCGGGATCATGACCTGAGCCGAAGGCAGTCGCTTAACCGACTGAGCCACCCAGGCACCCTTCATGTGCAAATTTTGAAATCTTGCGCATCAGCGCAGATTACACTCTCCCAGCACGGTGTAATTTAGAAGCTGTCGAAGATTTGCATGCTGCGTGGGCTATGGCCACATGATGGCGCTATGGTGGCCGTGGGAAGGAATATACGCGCCCTTGGTATTAGCCTTGAAGTGTGCACATTTTTCAGGAGCATCCTTTGGGCAAAAACGTGACTGACCTTTATAAAACTTCTCATGAGTTGGGAGCCAAGACAAAGAAAGAGGCGGGATTGGAAATCATTTCCTGGGTCTATCGTAAGATCTGGGGCCACAGAAGCCAAATGCAGACAAACAGGTTCTACAAATCAACTTCTAATTTTTAGTTGTGAAAATTATTGATTCAACCAACATTTTGGAGTACCGGCTCTGTTCCCAACCCGGAAATGGGGACACACAGGGAACGGTCTGTAGCTTTCTGGATACAATTGTTTCTAATGAAATGAAGTGGTGGGTGGGGCACCGGGGAACATCTGAGAAAGGAGTACAGAGAACAGGGAGATCCCAAGGATGGCTCTGGAAACCTCAGGGAGCACAGGACCGATCCCTGCAGTCTCTGAAAAAGCCCCTCCGCCTCACAGACAATCATCCCCTTACCTTTCCAAAACTCCCTTTCCCCAGCACCATGAGGAAATTGAAGTCGGTGAGTTTCACTCTGTCCAGGTTGTTGGAAGGTGGTCTCCTGTCTTCTGAAGGACTGATTACTTTGTTACCAGCAGGGCCAAGCTTGGCTTTCTAAACAACAAGCACACGCGTGAAATCGATGAGTCATTTTTCCCAGGAAAAAGAGTGATAGAAAGCATTTAACTAAGCTTGAGGGCAGCTGGGAGGTGGGAGGTGGGATGGGGGCAAGAAAAGAAATCACAGGGTGACGAAATATTTATTCAAGTCAGTAGCTATATTTACCCTAAGGGCAATATTTGCAAAGTGCAAAAAAAAAAAAAAATTGCCCTTACCTATCAAGAGACAACTCTTTACATAGTTAACCAAGTCAGGCTGATTCTCATTCTAGGACTTAGAAGTTAACTTCTTGGGGAAAATGGGTGTTTCACAATGGTTAACATAATACAAGAAATAAACTGTGCACTGATGCTTTTCTAATTTGTAGATTTTCCAATTTGATTCATTTGCATAAAGGAAACTTGGATCCTAGCAAAAAGGGGTTCCCTGGAGAGGAAACTCTTAACCGGCAAGCTTAGGGATGATTTATTGCTACTTTAAAAGGCACAGTAAGAAGAACATAGGGTTCTTTTTTTTTTTTAAGTTAAGAGTTGAACTCAGGAAAATGGTGATACGCATGAGAACCTGGGTTCACACAAAACATGGCAGCACCCTTTGAACCTGAAGCATCCCTGGTCAGTGACCTGTCAGTTACCAGAAGGCATTTTTATAAACCAGGCTCACGCTACACACAGTGCTGGAGAAACTACACCCTCATTACTCTGATTGAAGAGTTAGAGTCTTGGGTCAAAGGTTGAGGAGAGCAAGGAGGCTCCGCTGAAAAGGAAAGGCTAATGGGATCACGTGGGAAGGTCTCAAAGGTCAGCAAAGGAGCCCAGGAAGAATCTCCCCCCAGACTCTGCATGGAGAACATCTGCCCGACGGTGAGGGCACAGTTGCTGGACATGTCAGCTGCTGAAAAGGCCAGGGTCCTGCAGTGTGGCTCAATTGCCAAAACCACAGCCCTGAGCCCGACTGAGCCCAAGGGCAAAGACTGTGGCTTTGGATACATTCTGAATGATGAGGTACACCCCCTGCCCTTCCCCAAGGCAGCAGACCTAAGTGCAGCTTTGAGTTTCCGAGTAGGTGCCAGGACAACACTCAAGTCAATGTGGTTACCAAAAAGGTGTAGGACGTAAAGAAGACATCCTGGGCTTTACTACGTGACCAGAGCACTCTCCTGGGGGAAGATGGGGGATCTGACATGTTTTCTTTAGCAGCAGAGGCAGCTTCTGAGGAATCACCCATACTCCCTTAGAGCAACAGTGTCCCTTCGTCCCCACCTTGTGCCAGGCTCTGTGGAAGAGGTTTTGCATTATGGGATCCAGCCGTCTCTGGATCCCCAGGCCTCACATAGTGCTTAGCACAGGGCGTGTGCTCTACATTCTGGCTGAATAAGGAAATGAAGCTTGAATGTGTTCATCAGATGCTGTGCTGTTAGGTGATGCTTTTCTGTGATAAAAATAACATGTTTCAGTAAGGATCAAACCTCATGGCCTGCGTGCGTATTCAGATGAACTAAGCATAGCCATGTGGGCAGAGACATTAAGACATGGAGGAAAGATGGCCCCAACTTTTCTGCAGAGATCTTAAGCCACGGGGAAAGACGGCCCTCACATTTTTGCTTCCAGGCTGAAAGTATTTAATACAGCTGTCCTATATACCTCTATCGGCAGTGCCCGGTGGGACACAGACATGAACCTGGGGGTCACTGGATACACCGACACTCTTTAAAGACAAAAACCCTAACTGCAGTGATACATAAATTGGCCTCCCCTTTGACAGAGGATGGAAGTAATGTCCAGACAAACTTGTGAGAAAGAGCCAAGACATAACCACTAGTGTTACATCAGGACCCCCCTCAACTGCAGGACCAGCCCCGTCCTCTGGAAGCCAGGAAGCAGGAATGCAGGAGCACCTGGCTCCGGGGTCCCAAACAGACCAGGTTCGACCCATTGCCGCTGACAAAGTCCAAAGGCAGACAAATGATGGCTGGTGAAATGAGAAAGTAGTTTATTTCAGGGAGGCCAGCACCAGGAAGACAGCGGACTAGTGTCTCAGAGACTGTCTCCAAAGTGCTGAGAGCGCTCCCAGGATTATGTAAGGAAAATGTTGGGCAGAGGCCAGTGGGTACATGCATGCAGCTGGGCAGTGAAGGTCAAGTTGATCGCTGTCTTGGGGTCAATCACATGGGGTCTTGCTGGCTCGGGGCATTCCTTATTGCCGGAGAGGGTAGTTTTAGTCCCCATCACGGGATGCTTTGCCCGAGTTAAGGGAGAAGCTGGAAAGGAGAACTTAATCAATTAGAAGGTAGAGACTGGGATCAAAACGGAGGTGGCGGATAGCAGAAGTCCTCTTTCACTCCAAACATATGTCTCAGGAATGATTCCAAGTTGATAAACTTTCTGGTGTGTGTCGTCGAAATTGCAATGAACAATCAGGAAGTTCAAGTGTGAGATGAGAATACCCACGACGCCACTCTTTTCTGTTCTTTTGATTTTTAAAAAGAAACGTTATCAGAAAGAGGCACGAGGAGATGGATTTTATTTTGTCGGGAACTTCACAGTAAATTCTGAAAAGGCGGACTCAGTGCTCTGAGGGGCTTGAAACAGTCGAAGAGCGTCTTCACCTGGGTGAGGCTGTGATCGGGCTGGGGCTGCCCACGAACATCCAGCTTGCATCTAAAGCACGGGGCTCCTAACCAGAGGCTCCAGACTTGTGAATTCCTAGAGTCCCAGCTCCTTCCTCCTTTGACCCTTCAGCACCACAGACAGCAGAGACAGCAGCCCACGGAGTGACCTCCGGACAGACACTGCCCTCACTGGGGGCCATACGGAGCAAAGACTCTGAGTTTTGTGCTATGTCCTTAGTCCAGTTACAGGGAAAAGATTGTCCCCAAAGGGATGTAAATGCAAGAAAAGCATTTTCGCATTTGAGTACTTCTGAATCCGACTGCCGGAGGATCTTAGATTCCGCTCTGAAATCAATCCATGAGGTTTGGGCGGAATGTAGACAAAGGAGTCTCCTACTCTGGGGAGGGGAAGCCGGAGGGAGGAAGGACACAGGCTTCTTGCCCTGCCCCGGGCAGATTCCATTCTCATGTCTCTGGAGCCAGAAGCAGAGTTGGGTTCCATGTGGCTGGCAGAGCAGAGGGATGGTTTGGAAGGAGATGGGCCAGGCTGCTACACTGACCTCATTCTCCATCAGGGGGCAGGCTAGAAAGTGGCCTGACCCAGGGGGCGAGATGGAGTTCTCCCCAGCTCCTGGCAGCCCTGAGATAGGAGGAGCCCGGGGGACTTCGTGCAGCTAGCCTTCTGACCAGAGACACGTGGCTTCCACATTCCCGCTGCACAATATGCTTCTGGAGTCATTCCCACGCTGCCACTGCAGGGCCCAGCTGCCGGATGGCATGAAGCCATCGCCAGTACGGAGTTTGCAAAAGCAGCTCTTCCATGAGAGCAAAACCTCAGTGGTCCGGGCCTGACTCTGGCAAGTCCTTCGCTCACCCTGGGTCTAATCAGTAGCACAGCTGGAGGAGACAGCCCGTGGCTATCCTAGCAGCTGTGCAGCTGGAGGTGGCGGGGAGCAAACGACCGCCAGGAGGGCGCTCTACACGGCCTCCACCTCCAGTCTGCGTTCAGGCAGCCTCTGCCTCCTGATTCTCATCCTTGGCCCCTCCACCCTGCCTCCCCCTCCCCCCATGCTGTGGGAGTGCAGTCCCCCACCCCCTCCCGGGCTGACTTCTCCCTGCCTGCAGGCTTTAGCTTGCTCGCCATCTCTCCAGAGGAGCCCTCCCCAAAGACTGGCTGCCATTCTTCCCCCCATGGCCCTGCTCTCAAGAGCGCCACATAGGGCAACTTGTGAATATTTATGGTGTATCTGTTTAATGCCTCTTCCGATCACACTGTACAGCCAATCTATCAACAGGTCGTGCCAAATCTACCTGCAGGTTAGGTCCAGACTTTAGCCTCTTCTCTGGGGCTCCTTTACCACCTCTCTGAGGTGGTCCCACCTCTAGTGTCCCCAACTCCTGTGACCTCCCTTTCAGTGTATTCCCTGGAGGGACCCTGTCGTGCTTCCCTGGCTTCCTATCTGCTGGACAGAAAAAGGCCGAGTTGTCACAAAGGATGAGGAAGAGACCCTTGGCTGTCAGTTCTGTCTCCGACCTTGGTCCCATGACTCCCCCAGCCCCTCTGTTCCAGCCTCCAGTCTTTGGTCACTCTTCCCATGGGGCCTTGCTATCTTGCTCATCCACCAAATCCAGCTTAAGCACCACCCTCATCTTCGTGATGCCTCCTCCCTCCTGGGATTTCCAACCTGTGGCAGACATTGTCTATGACCCACCCACATCCCCTGAGCTTTTGGCTCTGCACCCCTGTGCACATCAGAGGCTGTCCGCGGGTTCTGTTGGGGCCGCGCCTGCACAGCAAGCCTGAAATGCCCATGTTGCTGCCCCAGGAAGTCGTGGCCTCGACTGGCCGCACAAGAAAGTGGATTGCATGCCGTCTCCCTAGCTCCCCAGCAGGACTGAGCTCCAGTGTGTCCAGCATTGGTACCATCTGAAGAACTACCATGCCCTGATCTTAGCTGGCTTCCTCCCTTCCCTGGGTCACATCCCTGCTCCTCCCCCCCCACCCCCGCCCTGCCCAGGTCTTTTGGGATCACTTCTCGAATGAACTCCTTGCTCTCAAAACCCTGTGGCAGAGTTGACTGATCTGGGGAACCTAAACCAACAGATGAACATTTTCTGAGGATTTGCTGATCTTTCTCATTAGACTGTGAGGTCCTGGAAGGCAGAGTAAGATGGTCCTTACTTTGTGTCTTTAGGTCAAGCACTGTGCTGGGTACATAACTGCACATTCACTGAATATCTCATTGATTGATTGACTCATTCATTCATTCAAAATCATATGTCTTCATTAAGTCCTACAACAGAATTTGAAGAGGCCAAATCACGAATGGTACAGTCAGCTGGTAGCCAATACCAGCCAGCCATCTGCCCAACGTTAATACAGAAAAGTGGCTGTTACCAGGTATGTCATTTCAGAGGGTGGCCCCTGGACAATGTGCATTTGGATGTTCAAATATAATCGGAACTCCTTCCCTCAAGCAATTACCGGTCATGCTGGGACAGCCACAGACAAAGGCTGTGAGGGCATCTCTGCCTTTAGGGAGGTTGGCCACACAGTGACCCTCCCCAGAGGCCACGCTAGACTAGTTAGCTGGGCCAGTGAGCTGAAACTCAGAAGTTTCTCTGAAAGGACATTCCTCCGGTGAGAAGTCCTGATTGCCCTGGACTTCACTGGAATCCACGGAAGACCAACAGTGAGGCTTTGCATTGACGGTTCCTTTCTCTGAGCTTTTGAGTGGGTTGTTTGGCAACGGGTCTCCTGGCAGGATAGAGCCCTCCCTTCTCAGCTTGTGTATTGTTGGCATAACTGGTTGTCATGAATGTAATTCAGACTTCACCAGGAGTGCAAATAAAATTAATATATGTCCAGGGATAAAGCTGAAGCCGATGGCCTAACTGCAGAAATTTCAGCAGACCCAAGGAGGCCTCAGAATAAGCAGGTCAACATTTCCTTTAGCAATGCAGACACGCCCTGCACGGCCAGACGCCCTCCTGGGCTGTGTGCACAAAGGGGAATTCACACCCGGAGAGGAGAGGCAGAATGTCTCCCGAAGCCTGGCATCAGAGGAGGGAGCAGAGAACTGACTGGGGCTGGAGCTGGAAGCACATATGAGCCTGCTGGTCATGCTCCTTGCTGATAAATCCCAAATCTTGAGTTCTTGCTCAGGACACATTTTGATTCAACTCATGGGTCCTTGTGGGTAAATTTAGACCATTTCACCACTTATTCCACAGATATCTGTGTGTCTGTCGTGCCCCAAACACTGGGCCAGATGCTGGGGAAATCAGATCAATACGATGTAGCCTTTCCTCTGGAGAACCTGCAGTTAAAAGGTACTGTGGTCTATGTCCCTGTTATTCAACGTGTGGTTTGTGGATCAGCTGTAGCAGCACTGCCTGGAGGCTGGTCAGGAATGCAGATTCCTGGGCCCCACCCCAGATCTACGGAACGGGAACATGCAGTTTTAACAAGATCCTCAAGTGAGTCCTGTGCACGTTTCAGATGTGCTAGTCGAAGTCAGAATGTTTCTCCAAGTTCAAAGTCCCTTCAGAGTCCCTGGGACCTTTTCTACCTTCAACAATCTTCAATTATCATATAAAATCAATGGCAAGTTCTGGAAAGAGCCCCAGACTTTGGTTCCAGAGAGTTTAGATCAAATCCTGGCTTTACCCATTTTTGCTGTGTGACTCTGGGCAGATGATATGGCCTCTCTCAGCGTCAGATTGCTCATCCATAATATAGTAGTACCAAGACCTCTGTATCCCTGGGCTATGCTGAAGCTGAAATGAGGAATCCTTTGTAAGAGCCCCCAGCGCAGAGCCTCCCATCACATCCTTTACCGGGGTCTTCTTTTCTTTGCCCCAGGAAGGAGAAGGTGTACTTCCCTCAGGCTCTTGGCCTCCACCTGCTCCCTGCCTATGGATTGAAGGCCTCTGTGAGCAGCTGCAAGTCACCTGGGTCAGGGTTCTGCCAGGCTGACTCACGGTCCTGTGATTATGGATATGTGTCAAGCCTGCAGACAGGCTCTGCAGGAGCTCAGGACCCGTGGGGAGGCCGAGGCAGATCCCCTGTGGGCTTCCCCGCTTCCGTGCCCTCCCGGTGAGGTAGGAGAGGAACTGGGTCTCAGCTCTAGCTGCTCTCCGATTTCTGGAGCATCTTCCGTAGCTCCCTCAGGGGCTAGGACCGTGCAGGAAAAGACCTTGACTTAGGGTGCTCTCCCCATTGGAAAATTTCCTAATAACCAACACGCATCTCATTTTATGACCCAGATACATTCTCCCAAAGTCCTAAGAGTCTGCAATCATCGAAGGTGTTCACAAATTTCAAGGACTCCCTTGGTGAGTTTCTGTAAAGCACATCATACAAAGTGAATCTGACTATTGCAAATCCAAATTCTCCCAGGTTGGGGTTGAAGTGTGGATGTGTGTTAAACACCTTTGTCTCAGGAGCT